GTTATTATAGAGAAACAAACGCACGAGTGTTGAACATGCACACGGATCGTCCTCCGTCTGCGGATAATTACGCCCACGCAGCACATCTACGTGAAGCAAAAGCTTCTGTGACATTAACAGAATGATCCCCACCAACACACTGTGTATCCTACCAATAACTATTTATATGGGTATGATGGACCCTATGCAAGCAGACACACACGCCAACACACTCCCCATACACCCAACAACAAAAAAAGGTAGGGATACACATGTACACAGAAACACACAAAAGAAATATATATATACGCACACACCTCCGTTTTGGCCACCACCAAAACCGGAAACCAATTTTACAAGTTGTGTTCCTTACGCTACACTCCCCATAGGCAGTTGTCAAAGTTGTACTCACCCCATTCGAACCACTTCCCTGAACATTACGAAAGCGGTTTAAATTAATAAACAAACGAACAAGCAACAATAATAATAATAATAATAATAATATATATCGGCTAACCAAAAATGAAAAATAAAAAAAAGTGGCAACCAAACACCAAGCCACATGCGTCAACACTTGTTCGTCCCAGTCGGTATTACGTGCACGCCTCATCGATGAGCAGATGAAATCCTGCACGCATATTCAACCGTCATAAAGTTAAACATCCACACCCATCAAGTGCCCACGTATGCCCCTATCAACAGGGGTTGCACCACACACACACACACACACACACACCGGAGTGCAAAATCGAGCGTTCCTACCAAACTGTTCTTCCCATCACCACGCTTGCTTTCCCAAAGCCACAAAACAACGTCACCTTGCTGGCAGCAGCAATACCCAAAAAAGGAAAGGGACACAAAGTTGGCATTGCACAACTCGCACGAGAGGAGGACCGCCACACACATACGCACGCAAGGACACCGACACAGCGAGAGAAGAAAACGATTAACCTAATGGGATGGACAGGACACTGGCGGAAATATATAAACAACGATACTACTAGATCCTTGCCAAGGTCCTGTCCCACGTTTGCCCTCAAATCAATATGCCCTGTCCATGTTTGTTCACTGCCGCAAAACACAGTATCAAAAAAAAAAAAAGAAACACGCCTCCACAAAATAGGGAGCATAAATTAACTGCGCCTTTTACAGGCGCAAGTAAAAAGAAAAAAAGCGGGGGACAGCGGTCCCCTCTCTACACTATATCCTACACAATCACACAAAGGCAATGCAGTCACCTCTCAACAAATAGACAAAGAAAAACAATGGGAACACATACACAACAGTTGCCGGCTAGTCAATCCCTCTACAGCAGAAATGTCTCTTCGTGGAAGTCCACACCAAGCGACAGGGCGGCGTCCCTCGCACTCCTCACCAGGCCAGCCGGACCACACGCAAACACCAACACTGTGCGAGGATCCGCGTCGCCGATGACGAAGGGGATCTCAACAGCAGCGTCGATCCGCCCAGTGGACACATCAATCTTCCTCTGGGGAAGAGTCCCGCACGCGGATTCACCCGTCAAAAACAGGCGCAATGAAGGCAGCTCACCGGCGGTGTTCCGTGAACACGAGACAATGCTGTGCTCCAACGAGGAATTGCTCGCCACGGAAGTGTCCCCGCCGTCACTCCACAGGTGCGACATCATGGGCACCAGTTCGGCGTCACGAACAGTCCACAGCAGTGTCACGGCAGGGGCCCAACTACCCCCCATTCTCTGCCGACGCAGGTGGCTGTAGATCGCAGCGCACGGTGCCACGCCGATGCCGCCGGCAACAAGCACAACAACACTGTAGTCGTCAAATTCGTGAACGCGTCCACACGGCCCGTCAACACTTAATGAGAGGCTGCTGCCACGCTCACTCACCAGCTTCACCAGATGTCCCGTCCAGCTGTCATCCCCCATAGCCTTGATGTGGAACGTGTAGCACCCTTCGCATGCGCTGCTAAAGCTGAACGGGTGCCATTGCAAGAGAGACAACTCGGGGATGTTCACAAAAGCGTACTGCCCAGGTGCTGCGCTCAGAGACGCGTGGCGAAAGCTCAGTTCCACAAACGAGCCGCTTGCAACGGCAGACACCACCTCCACCGTCGACGCACTCCGGTGCATCCGCAACAGCCGGTCCACAAACCACACAGTCAGGCCAGGCAGGAAGTACTCCCACGCAGCTGCAGAGTGCCAAAGTACCGTGGGAGCAATCATGTAGAACGACAAGATGTGCAGGTAGTAGAACAGCTCAAAGAACCTGCGTCGCACCGGCTCCAGCGCAAAAAGACCCACGGCCACTATCATGAACCACGTCGTCAGCGAGATCAGCGGGACAGTAAAATTGGAGGCTGCCATAGGAATGTTCATTGGGATAGAAAAAATATCGTGGGGAAACGTTCCTGTTTGTCCATAAAAGAAATAAAAAGCAACCATGTGGCCAACCGTCGCAAGCAACATCCCATACCCCAGCACTTTGTGGACCCAGATCGAAGACTCCCACGAGGTGCCCAGGATGGAGTGGAGTGCAGAAAACCGACTCGCGGGAAACATGAGCAACGACAGCAACGCAACCGCCAACTGACCAAGCGCGCGAGCCCACCGCTCAGAGGCCTTTATACCCGCATCACTCCCTCCAGTCCAGCTCATATTAAAGTTATGGGCTTGTATCCAGTACAAGAAGAACAGCAGCAGCATCGCTAACGTCAAAAAGGCAAAACTCGCCTCGCCCAAAGTGAAGCACCGCAGAAGGGGGCACCGCCACTTCAGGAACCTGCGCCCGGCGCGACTCGCACGAATGACGGTGACGGTCAGCAACAAAATGAGAAGATACGAGAAGAAAAAGATGTTGCTCGGATACATCTTCAGCACCACGGAATCGCTCGAAACCCAGTTACGCGTAAACACCCACGCCCACGGAAGCTCCGGACACGTGAAGTTATTCCTCGCCGTTCGACATAACGTGTAATTTCCTGTGGCGTGCAGCTGCGCGTTCCTCGCAATTCTGCTCGCTGAAAAGTATTCCCATGAGTTGGGAACGTAGAAAGTAATGATTGCCCAGCACGCAGCAAGAACGAACGCGCCTGCAGCAAAGGGAACAACAACTACCCGCTTGACGCAAAGCTTCTGACGTATTGGCGCAAGCCAGCGGCGATCAAGCCCGGTCATCCTCAGGGCCACCTGCAGCAGCATCACGAGGCCCATTGGCACAAGCGAGAAGAACACCGTGATGCCGGTGACGGAAAGAAAACCGATGCCGGCTTCCGGCCTCAATCCAGGCACCTCAACGTACTTGGTGCTGTCAACGCAAAAAATACCCAGGCACTGCATCGTTTCCTTTCCCCAGAACATTCCCAGGCATCCAACGGCAGTGAAGACGGCACCCACAAGACCAAACGCAACCATCCCCGGTCTGTTGTTCCACACGCGTAACAGCGCACTCACGCCCATATACAGCAGCGTCACACCGACAGGGGCAAAAACAGTAAACAGCAGCAAACCAATAAACGTGAATACATCGTAACCAACCCAGCCTCTGCTATAGGATCCCTGGTGGTGAAAGTAGTCCGCATTGTGCCACCAAGAAAGGCCCATCGATGCAATCCCGCTACAAATCACGCCAGCGGCCATCAAGCCTATTGTGCCCCATTGAGGATCCTTGGGATACTGGGGTGGCGACAGAAATGGGGTGTGAACGCTCATTGCTCGTCGTAGCCTTGTATGTTTGTTTGTGTGTCCTTCTTGCTTTTCCTTCATGAGTCCACAGCATCAAAAGCAAAAGGTATTGGCCAAAAATGAAACAAAGTAAGTTGATCAGACAGAAAAGAATCAACTTCTACACCCGAGACGGCAAAAACACTGTCGGAAAATCAGGGAACTGCGGCACCGAGGGCACCTGTACAAACAAAAACTCCCATCAATTAGTTCCGCTTTTTCTTTAGCCGCCGTGGCAGACAAAAATGAGTTCTCCGTGACGCCTCATCCCTTTCTCTCCCAATGGCGGAGATACGGCGAAACGAAGCATGCCATCCAAAGGACACACACACACACACACACACCTCCGTTTTGGCCACCACCAAAACCGGAAACCAATTTTACAAGTTGTGTTCCTTACGCTACACTCCCCATAGGCAGTTGTCAAAGTTGTACTCACCCCATTCGAACCACTTCCCTGAACATTACGAAAGCGGTTTAAATTAATAAACAAACGAACAAGCAACAATAATAATAATAATAATAATAATATATATCGGCTAACCAAAAATGAAAAATAAAAAAAAGTGGCAACCAAACACCAAGCCACATGCGTCAACACTTGTTCGTCCCAGTCGGTATTACGTGCACGCCTCATCGATGAGCAGATGAAATCCTGCACGCATATTCAACCGTCATAAAGTTAAACATCCACACCCATCAAGTGCCCACGTATGCCCCTATCAACAGGGGTTGCACCACACACACACACCGGAGTGCAAAATCGAGCGTTCCTACCAAACTGTTCTTCCCATCACCACGCTTGCTTTCCCAAAGCCACAAAACAACGTCACCTTGCTGGCAGCAGCAATACCCAAAAAAGGAAAGGGACACAAAGTTGGCATTGCACAACTCGCACGAGAGGAGGACCGCCACACACATACGCACGCAAGGACACCGACACAGCGAGAGAAGAAAACGATTAACCTAATGGGATGGACAGGACACTGGCGGAAATATATAAACAACGATACTACTAGATCCTTGCCAAGGTCCTGTCCCACGTTTGCCCTCAAATCAATATGCCCTGTCCATGTTTGTTCACTGCCGCAAAACACAGTATCAAAAAAAAAAAAAGAAACACGCCTCCACAAAATAGGGAGCATAAATTAACTGCGCCTTTTACAGGCGCAAGTAAAAAGAAAAAAAGCGGGGGACAGCGGTCCCCTCTCTACACTATATCCTACACAATCACACAAAGGCAATGCAGTCACCTCTCAACAAATAGACAAAGAAAAACAATGGGAACACATACACAACAGTTGCCGGCTAGTCAATCCCTCTACAGCAGAAATGTCTCTTCGTGGAAGTCCACACCAAGCGACAGGGCGGCGTCCCTCGCACTCCTCACCAGGCCAGCCGGACCACACGCAAACACCAACACTGTGCGAGGATCCGCGTCGC